GCGCTGGCCAGCTGGGCTGCGCGCCGGGGGGGTCCATGAAAGTGGAGAGTACGGGGTAGTACGGGGCAAGCCCCACGTTGGGATCCACAGGGAGAGCCTGCCGCAGCCCCACACTATGCATGCCGGAGGGGAGGGAGTGCTGGCCGCAAGAGGGTACAGACTGTGAGCCACGAGCAGCCGTTCTGGGCCGCATCCAGGGAAGAGACCCCGCACCTGGGACGTGGACGCAGTCGCTTTGTTTGTACGAACAGTCTTCGCACCGCGGCGGCAACGGGCTTTGGGATCCACAGGGAGAGCCTGCCGCAGCCCCACACTATGCATGCCGGAGGGGAGGGAGTGCTGGCCGCAAGAGGGTACAGACTGTGAGCCACGAGCAGCCGTTCTGGGCCGCATCCAGGGAAGAGACCCCGCACCTGGGACGTGGACGCAGTCGCTTTGTTTGTACGAACAGTCTTCGCACCGCGGCGGCAACGGGCTCCGTGGTGCGGGAACGGTGCAGCGTGAGCTGCTGTAACAAGGACAGTTCCTGCCACCAATGAGCACAGGCTGGGGAGAGTGTGTGTCAGCCCGTTGGCAGGTGTGCTAAGCCCCTTCTCCTCCAGCGCCCTGCCCTGCTCCACAAACACAGCCTGCTTGCAGCGCAGGGCGGCTTCCTGCGGGCAGCATGGCCGGGGGCTCGGGGGTGTGGCAAGGCAGAGACGTGCCTGCCGTTGCGCTGCCAGCCTGGGGCAGAGCCAGCTGTGCTCTGACCACTCTGCCTCACCACCGTCAGCCCTGGGAAACGGAGGCTGAGCTACTCTGGGCGAGGCACAGGGATGCAGCGTCTGGCTCGCTTGCCGCTGGGGGCAGTTTGCATGGCAAGCCTGGAGCAAAAGCTTCAGAGGGGGAGCCAAGTTAGTCTGTAACAGGAAAACTTCAGAGTCTGGTAGCACCTTAAAGACAAACAAAACATGTTGCTGGTCTTGTGAGGTTTCGTGAGCACAGCCCACTTCTTCAGCTGACAGGAAGTCCCAACCCAAGCCAGAAGCCCAGCAGCCAGACCGCAGCATTGCTGCTTCCCGCTGCAATTGGCCCTTCCCTGCACTGGGTGCACAGAGGCGGAGCGTGAGCCGCCCGCAGCGGGGCAGGTTAAAGCATCGTGACCAGCTGTTAAAAGGGATTTGGGAGTGGGGGGGGGAATCGGAGCCAAGCTCAGTTCCAATGAGCATTACCCGGGAGGAGGCCTGTGAGATGTCTCCAGAGCAGACATGGCCCCTCCACACTGCTAAGGCAGGTGCTTCGGCCCTGCCCTGCTGATCACACTGTGGACCTGCTCTGGCTAGCAGCTCTCTCCCTTCCCAGGAGCCGCCTGCTGGCCTCAGATGAGACCTTTGGATGCTTTCAGGCCTGCCTGCACAGCTGGGTTTTGTCTGTCGGGGGGGCACGGGGCTTGGCTCACCTGCGAGGCAGCTGTGCTCGTACCCACGCTTGCATGTCTGCCGCTGGGCCGAGCTGGGGTGCACTGGTGCATTCTGGGCTGCTCTTCTGCAGGAGCGAGAGGCCCACGGCTCAGGAACCATTCGAAAAGGATAGATAGGACAGGGAATATCTTAATGCCACTACAAATCCACGGCGCACCTGCACCCTGACTGCTGTGAGCAGTCCTGATCCCTGCACCTCAGGAAAGATGGGTTAGGGTTGGCAGGGATAGGCCACAGAAATTCTTAGAATTATATCACAGCTTGTATACACACAGAGGTTAAACAGACTAAGCCCGCTCGGCTTGGCAGAGAGACAAAGGGGGGATATGATAGGCCTGAAGAATGTGAATGAGGAGTTATTTACCCTTTCCCATAAGTTAATGGTCACCCACTGAAATGAATAGGGAGCAGGTTTAAAACAAAAGGAAGTTTTTCTTCATACAATGTACAGTTAACCTGTGGAACTCCTTGCCAGTGGATATTGTGAAGGCCAAACGTAACAATTTAAAAACGATTAGCTAAGGTCCTTGCCTGGCTGTTAGACGTGCATCCCTGCCATGTTGGCTGAGTGTCCCTGCACCTCTGACTGCCAGAGGCTGCGACTGGTCACGTGGGCTGGCTCCCTCAGACGGTGCCCTGCTCTGTTCATTCCCTGTGACGCCCCTGGCACTGGGCAGCCCTATGTTCTTGTGAACGTCTCCCTGGTGTGAGGCTGCTGGGGGCAAATGTCCATCTCCCACAGGTAGGAGGAAATGGCTTCCCTCTAGAACACTGCAGGCTAGTTCACTGCTCCTGGGCTTGGGTTTCCCAGGGCAGCCTCACCCCTTCCTGGACAGCAGTGCCGGCAGCACCTCCTGGCTTGGAACCAGCTGGCCCCAGCATTGCTTCTGCCTCGAGGACATTGCCTTAAAGCGGTGGTTCCTCCTACTCAGGAGCCATTTAGCTGGCTCTGGCTCTTCATCTGAGCCCGTCCCCCAAGGGTGGGTCTCATTTAGTCACAGCCCAGGTGTGGCAAAGCCTCCCCCTCCCCAAGGGGTGCGCCGCCTGTGGGAGGTGGGCCAGGGACACAGCTGGAAGTCAGCCAGCTCATGCCCTCCTGCTGGAGCTAGGCGCCGGGAGCCTGCGCGCAGACGTGGCTAGCGCCGTGTGCTGCAGCCTGCTCAGAGCAAGGCTAACCAACTGTGGGTTAGAGCGGCAGAGGCGGGGCTACACGCAGGCACCCAGCAGCTGGACTGAAACCACGGCTGAGGTCAGCGAGCCTGAATCCATCTAGCAGAGAGACCTACCATGACACCGCCCAGTCAGGCACCAGCCTGTGAGGCCTTGGGGTGAGAGGCCAACTGAGCGGCGGGG